TTATTGGTATATTCGACTTTGTAGCATTTTCTATCTCTCGTTCTTGTCTGGTTGGCTGTATCTGGTTTGCATGTCTCACCCATATCTTTTTTCCAACTTTTACTTCGTAGATAACTTTCCCTTTTTTTCGTATTATTATGCCAAACTTCCAAGTTGGCTTTACTCCCGTGAAATCTCTTGTTATTACCGCTTGTCCCACCTTAAACCTTCTGGGCAATGCACCGTGCCGCTTGTTGAATTGCTGTTCCATTCGTTTGTTCTTTCGGAGGTTGGCTCTAAGCTTTGGTTTCATTTGCTCCATAGGTATTCTAATCTTTCTCCCAAAAATTGCTTCTGCTGGGCTTTCTTGATTATTTGTTGTTGGGTTTGGTGTTGCTCGGTATGTCTGTAGAAACCTTTGAATCATCTCGTCTATTTCACCTTCTCCCTCGGCTTTAAGTAGTGCTCTTTTAAATGTATCTACGAACCTCTCAACTAGACCGTTTGACTGTGGATGATATGGGGGTGTTTTTATATGCCTAACAGCGTTGGCGACGCAGAAGTTCGAGAATTCAGCGGAGGTGAACTGTGCCCCATTATCAGATACTAATACATCTGGACACCCAAAGCAGCTAAATACTTGTCTCAGTTTTTCAATAGTAGCTTTTGTAGAAAGAGACTTAACGTAGTGGATTTCTGGCCATTTTGAGAAAGCATCAACCATCACTAAGTACTGTTTTCCGTTTATGGGACCGGCGAAATCTACGTGTACTCTTGACCATGGATTTGTTGGTGTCCCCCAACTCTGCATTTCTGTCTTGCGAGGGGCTTTGATAGCTTTTGCACACGCAGAACATGTCTCAACATATTCTTTGATCTGAGCGTCAATATTCGGCCAATATACATATCCACGTGCAAGTGCCTTCATCCTTGCTACCCCTGGGTGTGCGGCATGCAGTTGTGACATCACCTTACAGCGTAAATTTATGGGTACGATTACTCGATTCCCAAACATCAAGCATCCATCCACAAGTGATAGGGAATTCCGACGGTGGGAATACTGTTCAATATTTTTGTCGTCTACATGGGCAGGCCAACCATGTTCGAGGTATCTAATAATCTGCTTCATTTCATCATCTTCTTGAGTATAACGTTTAATGTCTTCACAGGATAACGGTGTTGCTTTTATGGCAACTTGTAGTATATGATGAACATCATTCTCCAACGATATCGTTGCAATAATAGAATCTTCACTTTTCTGCTTCTGATTAGCAATTAATCTAGATAAAGCATCGGATTGTCCAAACTTTTCAGTTGATTTATATAGGATTTGGAAATCATAAGCAAGCAACGTGATAGCCCAGCGTTGTAACCGATTCGCTGTATAAGCAGGAATACCTGACTTTGATCCAAATATAGATAAAAGCGGCTTGTGGCCTGTTAAAAGCTTAAATCGACGACCATAAATCATTTTATGAAATTTCTTTACTGCAAAAACTAAAGCTAATCCTTCCTTCTCAATCTGACTATATTTTTGCTCGGCTGAGTTAAGAGTTCGGGATGCATGAGCAATTGGCTTTTCTTTACCATCAGGAAAACGATGACTGATAACGGCTCCAATTCCATAGTTTGAAGCATCGGCGGCTACAATTATTTCAAGCTTTGGATTATAATGAGTCAGCAACAGTTTAGAAGATAAAATCCTTTTTATTTCATCGAAAGAATCTTGGCATTCTTTTGTCCAGTGCCATGTTGTATTTGCCATCAAGAGTTGATTTAATGGTTGTCGCAATTTATACATCTGGGGTACAAACATACTATAATAACCAATCATCCCCAAGAATGAACGAAGGGTTGTAACCTCAGTCGGTCTGGGCATATTTTTGATAGCATTTATATTGTCTGGATCCGGTCGACGACCATCTTTATCAAATATATATCCTAGGTATTTAACAGACTCGAGCAGAAATTCACACTTTTCTTTTTGTAACTGAAACCCAGCTTGTGATATTTTAGTGAGCACCACATCTAACCGACGTATTAATTCCTGCGCGGAAGAGCCAACAACTATAATATCATCCAAATAAACTGCTACACCTTCGATGTTAGACACCATAGTATCCATTATCTGCTGGAAAATTGCTGGAGCTGGCTTAACACCAAACGGTAATCGGTTAAATCGATAAAGTCCACGGTGGGTATTAATGGTTAATAACTCCTTTGAATCTTCGTCAACTTCCACCTGTAAGTAAGCTTCAGACAAATCAAGTTTAGAAAAATAACGTCCACCGTTCAGTTTAATAAATAAATCCTCTGGCAAAGGTAATGGATATGAATGATTTTGTAAAACGTCATTTAATCCTGTTGAAAAGTCTGCACAAAGGCGAATAGCTCCGCTCGCTTTCTGAACTACTACAATTGGTGCTGCCCATGCCGAATAATTAACAGGTTGTATAACACCGAGTTTCTCTAGTCGGTCTAATTCTTTGTCGACTTTGTCAATAGCTGCATATGGAACTTGACGCTTTGGACGGAAAACAGGTTTTACATCCTGTCGTAGGTATAATTTTGCCTTCTCAATTGTGCAGCATCCCAATTTATTCTGGAACAAGTTTTTATGTTTCTGCAAAAGATCTTCTATCGTTACGACTTTCTTGGTTACATGAACTGCGAGTGGATCTCTAGGATTATTTGCGCCTTTCATTGTGCATATTTCATTTAATGGTACATCCCATAAATTTAGTTTATCTATCCAGTCTATACCAATAAGGTCTAATTCATGTCTGTTCGTTAAGTAGCAATTTCCTGTAAAGTAATTACCTCGGAATTTAACAGAGCATTTTATCATTCCCACAAGTTTCAATATATCTTCGGACGCATTCCGCGCAGTGTGCTCTGTTGGTAATACTTTCGGACACCCAATTAAATACCACGTTCGTTTCGAGATTAGTGTGATATCTGACGCTGTGTCCAATTGCAATCGAATATAAACACCATTAACAATTAATTCCACATATCTTCTTTTATTCGCTACGCTTAGAGCCAGTGTAGAATATACGCTGTTTATATACTTATTTTGGTACTGGTACGGACGTCTGGTTTGTTTTGATTTCAAACTTTCTCTACTTCGGCAGACTATTTCTTTGTGGCCAACTTTATTGCATATAGTGCATCTATGATTTCTAAACCAGCAAAATCTTGAGAAATGCCACGCACCGCAATACCAACATTTAGTTGCAGGTTTAGGAGTTTTCGAGTAATATTTATGACTTTTGGTACTGTTTTGTCTTTGACCTGTCTTAACAGCATGAACAGAATTTGAGGGCACAGCACTTTTGGTTTCCAGCATAGCTGTATCTTGTTTTAGGTTTATTAATCGTTGACATTCAGTGGTGATAGTTTGTAACGTCATTTCATCATCATGTTCCATACGGGATAACAACTTCATGCGAAAGTCAGCATCAACAGGAGAGTTCAGACCAGAAATAAACAATAAGCATTTAAATTGATCACTGGTTAATACATTTAATTTGAATCGTTCTGCTTGTAAATTTACTCTTCCGGCGTACGTAGTATAATCTTCATCAGCCTCTTTAGTCAGCTGTAGACAGTTATACCGGATACGGAATAAAGACGACTGTTCACAAAACATTTTATTCAGGATGTTAACAGTTTCATCGAAATTAACTTCTCGTGGATGTTTAGGCAGAATATGGTTTTTATGCTTCTGATGCTCATTAGGACCAAGTTTCTGTAATAGCACCCGGACTTTCTTTGCATCATCTATAGCAGCAAATTCTACTCGGAAAATATCTTCAATTCTGCCAAACCATGCTTCAAAAGTGTGACCATTGTCTGCATCAAATATAAATTCTGAAACTGGATTAAGGTATGACTCGATACTTTTATGTCCTGGAATCTCTTGTTGCATAGATAGTTTCCCCAAAAGTGTTTCCAAGAGTTTCTGTTGCGAAGCTAACATTTGCTGCTGCTGTTGTTGAAGTTGTTGTTGCTGTTGTTGTAATAATAACTGCAACTGTTCTAAGGAAATCGACATTTTTTTTACTGCCAATAATAATATTAACTCCAAAAAACACCGGCAATTTATTACAGCTAATTTATTTCCAAAATCTGAGTCACCACTTGTATTTTTTTTGCCAAAATCCCCGTCGCCAATTGTTATGACCTTGGATGTCTGACTTTTCGATCACGCGATTTATCTACCAATCCGAATACGACTTATACGAATCTTCACACTAGGCCAACCAATGACGTTCAACCGGTGTGGGCAGTTTAGCGTCCTTATTGGTCCTATGACCTACGAGCCCTTCCACTCGAGTCCAGAACAAGACACCAGCTTCCGAATCAGAGCAGATCGTTTATTTCAGACAGACCGCAACGTACCATAAAATAGGAAATAATATTTGTACACAAATAAGCCCAAAAAGTGGCTGTGAATGTGGGAGGCAGTAGTTAATAAACTGAACATAACTTAAGAACCGTAAATCGTACAATAATAAATTATAGGTCAAAACAAAGCTTATCATAAAAGGAATATAAATATCCATAGTTTACTTGTTGAGTAGTTATACAATAAGAATATTTATAGAATATTAGTCCATGAGTAGTCCTTGGAATTTACCTGTAGTTTAATCTTCACCGGATATAACATAAACACGTACGGACGGCCTAGAGTCTCGACTGGTCTCGCTTCCCTGTCTAGCCCAGTCAGTTGAGTCCAGAACACAAGTCACAGCCTTGGAGATATGAATCATTATATTTGAAACTTACTCTATTTATATACTAACCAAGCATACCACATCGACCATAAAAATAGAAAACAACATTTTGTACAATACTCAACAAATGAACAGATATCGACCAATAGGAAATGTCTATTTAAAGTCCAAGGACACCATTGGACTTAACATGATAATTATTGGTCTATTCCTCCGTATCCACAACACACGCTTAGATTACTTATGGTAAATTTGTTTATTCCTTTTTTGCATATCTTGTAGATCAGGTTTACCAAATTTTTGTGCAGTTGCATTAGCTCTTCATGAATTTGGTTATCAAGCTATTGGTATACGTATTGATAGCGGTGATATAGCCTACTTATCATTGAAAATTCGTAATACGTTTCAGCTAATCAGTTCACAGTAAGTAGACTAAATTAAATTAATTGATACTTTTCTATATTTTATAAAAATATGGTTTATATTTTGTTAGTTTTTTGGAACTATGCTTTAGTAGTTCAAGCATCTATATTTTTTCTTTATGTTCATCAAAGTTTATTATTATTATTATTATTATTATTATTATTATTATTATTATTATTATTACCATAAGAGTACTTCCAGCGTCTCACAGTACACTTAATCACTGCCCACCTCGATACGTGATATTCGCTGATGTAGGAATAAGTTAAAAATATTTAGGGACCTCCAAACCAAAACATAGCATCAGTCTATTAAGTTATTGAGCCATGTTAATAGGTGAAGACTACTTACTTGGGGTCTGTGTAATTATTACAATTAGTGGTTGAAGAAATTAGGTGACATGAAGGCTTGGGATCGGTTATGATAAAATAGATACACTCTTTTTTTACCTTGGATCTTAGGTTTTAAAACTACTTTATATTTCCTGTAATTTCATGTAATCATTCTTTCTTCTTGAATCATATTGTCTATACTTCTTTTTTCCTGTTGCCGCCTATTCTTTTACCAATTCCCCTACTCTGGTGTGGCAGCTTGAACCAGTGCTTATATGTACAAGGCTCTACGTTGTTTAAAACTAGCAAGGGACTATTAGTCATTTTATTGTTGTGATTTCTCTTTTCAGATTGTGATAAAAGTATCTTTTAGGGATGAGCTTGAAACAACTGCGACGAGTTTTCAGCCAGTTCTTAGACAATCAGAAAACAGCTTTTATAAATGGATAGTCTATGGAGAGGATAATAATATTGCATAGCGTGAACTGATTTTACATATAAATCAGTCGAAAAAAACGACATATAAACTAACCTTAATGAGTACAAACTGCCCGTCTCCTGGAACCTTTAAATAAAACCCAAATAGATTTCTAAGAGTCCCCATATTTTTCATAGTCAGGACTAAATTTAGGGGTTTAGGATTGAAGTTTTAGACACGAACTGAAATCAGCCACCATGTAGAAATGCTCTGTAGCCATATGGATGTATGAATCTCGCTCAAAAATACAAGAGGCGGTATCTGAATAGTGTGACTATAAAATATAATTCCACCAGGCTGTTTGTTTCAAGATTAAGGGCTCAGGATTAGTGTCGTAACTTATGCCCTGTGTCCTATTTATGCATAATATATTGATACCGCCAATTAGAGAACAGTAACCTAACCAATGACGCATAAAACCCGTGCGAGTATTCTAGAGTCCTTATCGGTTCTACTTCCCGCCTAGCCCTGCCTGTTAAGTCCAGAACACCCATCTCAGCCTCTGCGATATGAATCATTTATTTCAAACATACTGGGTTTATATACCAACCAAACAGAACACATCGTACCACAAAATAGGAAACAACATTTTTAAAAGATTTAGCCAAAAGTGGCTGCGAATGTGGAAGACTGTAATTCATAAACTAGGAATAACTTAAGATTGGTAAATCGTGTTATAATAGTTCATATGTCAAAATAAAGCTCATAATAAGGAGGAAACGAATATTATACGATAAAAATATGCGTATAATAGTCCAAAAATAGATCCCAACAATTACCATTCATTATTCTCATCGGGATATAACAATTAGAACTTAGGGACAGTGTCGATTTTCCTGTTATATGTAGTCTAAAGAGACAGAATTAGGTATTAAATACGTTCAACACTTATTTTTACGCTATGGTTTCAAAAAGTGATTTTTTAACAGTCATTTTAAACGTTTTGATTCAAAGTGCTTGTACTGCTCTTCATACATGATGTTTTAATTTCTCACAAGAACCTAAAAGTTCCATTCTCGATCCTGATTGATTAATCTATGAAGCACACTTGTACTTCATATCGTTATTTATTATCATAATTTAAAACATACACTACTACTTAATTAATTCAAGTTGGAAATATAGTATAAGTTGGTTTACTCAACTTTCAAGGACACATTATTATTAATGGCTTTATTCAATATTATATTTTGGTACAATATAGAATTCTCAGCCCAAGGTTTTTCAACAAGTTTCCTTTACAAAAAAATAAAGGAACAACGGTTAAAATTTGAAGAACTGTACAACTTTCCAAATTAGAGACATGTCAAGAATGCAGGTTATTGACTAGGTTAACTAACAACCTGTTCGTCACCGAGTATATTTGCTAGGTAAGGTATTATAGAACTTTTATACTTTTGCTTGCGTGCATGGATTTTAATGTAATTACGTCTCGTTCTACCAGGACATATACAAGGAGAAAGATAAGAGTGAAGGGGATGGTTAGTATGTGATAAAATAACACCTGCCAGGAGTTTGCATGACTTTAGATGTCTATCCACAACCATATTAATTATGACCTCGAAAGATTCACCACACACCTTGCTAACTGCCTTCAGCACTCTCCGCAATACAAGGTCTTTTCTCAAAATCCCAGGAAAAAATAATGGAGAACGGTAAAGAAAAATAGGTAATATGCAAGAATTGACAAAATGTAAGAGTAAATGACAAGTAATTCCAAGAGCATGCAATCTTTTTATGTAGTAGGTCAGACGGAAAACCTTCTTCGATAACAATAAAACGTGAGAAGACCAATAGAGATCAGAGGAAAAGGTAACACCAAGATAATTGACCTTTGATACTGTGTTTACCAAAGAGTCTCCAATGGCACAAGCATTATGGGATCTCAAAATGGTGTTTAGATGCCGTTCATGTCTCATGCTAAAGTTAACAGCTTGACATTTAGACGGATTAAGTATGAGATCATTACCAACAGACCAACAATCAATACGAGACAAAAACTCATTCATTTCTATGGGGTGTAAAGAGGAAGAGATAGGCATACATACAGTGCGATCATCCGCATATTTCACAAAAGTGTTTTCTGTGGAAGATGGCAGATCATGCAGAAAAAAAGAGAAAAGAAGAGGTGAGAAAACAGCTCCTTGTGGTACACCTTCATGAAACAGTAGAGACTCTGAACACTTTCCTCCAAGTACAATGTACTGTTCCCTTCCAGAGAGGTAGGAACATAGCCAGTTGGTTATCCAGCTGTCAGTGTTGACGCTGATTAACTTATTAACTAAACGTTGTCTTGATATACAATCGAAAGCTGAAGTATAGTCCAGAAAAGCGCATCGAACGTACTTCTTACCCTTTTCTAAGTTGAACACTATATTGTGATGCAGAACAGCAACAGCATGTAAGGTGCTTCTTTTGCACCTGTAAGCAAACTGATACGGATCAATATGCTCTTTTATCGCAGGCTGAAGTGGAAGTATTAATAATTTTTCCATTGTTTTGAGGAAGGGTGAAGTTATTGCAACAGGTCTAAATTTCACATTCTTATCACCAGATACTTTCTTGGGTACAGGAATTATCTTCATCTTTCTCCACATTTTCGGTATGAGATCAGATGAGAAGGATCTGTTAAAGATAGTCGTGAATGAATAAAACAGGACGTCAGCACGCTTTGTAAAAAGGAGGTTTGGGATACCATCAGGTCCTAAACATCGGGATGAATTAAGTGACTGGAGACATGTTCGGACATCAGTTTCAGTGAAACTAGGAACACAACTATTCTTTAAACTTGTGGATGAAGGAAGCACATTTTGTGTAAGAGTTCGTGTTACTACTTGGTCGCCTAAATTAACCGAGTTCATGCTCATAACTGTATTGGTCAGTATGAAGGGACATCAGTAACGGATACTGCTGTAATCAATTGAATAAGTTCAAAAGGTAGTTTTGTTATTTAATATTTTTTAATTTCATTTCTTGTAGCTACAATTTACCTTGGTTTGCACAACTTCAAATACTTGCCAGCAATGATTTAAACGAAGATACATTACATTCTTTTAATCAACAAGTATGTGAATTTATTAAGAAAAAAAGGATAAATAAAAGTTTATTATATATAATTCTTCTGAAAGTGCTGTTGTTTTTTCTTTTTGAATTTCTTAATGGTTGTTAGTTCACGCCTTTTAAAGCATACTTCGTTAAGTGGTTGAAGGTAATCAAAAGGAAGCCCCACTCGATCTATGTTTCGCGGTAGTTCTAATGATCTAATTGAAAGAATTCGTTCAGCTCTTTAGAATACGCAGATAACATAATCGTGTTCGGTGGACACGCTGATAAAATTCACTCTTTTGGTAGCACTGAATAATAATGCCAGGATGTTTCGGATGCGTTTCTCTACCTCTAAATGCTACTTATTGCTTCAAAACTGACCTGTGTCGACACCTGGACTAATAATAGACAGTGACGTGGTCGAACGCGTCGACAACTTCACTTTATGTTGGAAGTCTGATCAGCCCAAATTGGTTGGTGTCTGATGAAATCTCAGCATGGATTCAGAAAGCTCGTTTGGCTTTTGCCAACTTACGCGACCTATGAAGAAGGCGACTAATTATTTATTATTATTAATTAAGGGACGAGTATACTTCGCGGCAGTTCGTTCTGTTCTTTACGGCTTCTAAAAGTGGTATTTAAGAGTAGAAGATACTCGTAAGCTATTAGTATTTGACTAAAGATGCCTTAGCAATATTGCTTGCATCTGCTGGGATCACTGGGTAAGTAATAGTGAAGTTAGACACAGGGTATTAGGGTGTGATGGTAGATCAGTTGATAAGGTTGTGAATCTTTATCGACTGAGATGGTTGGGCCCTGTGTTACATATTTCTGAACACCGATTACCACGACGCGCAATGATGACTAGTGTTGGAAGAAAGTTAGTGGTGCTAACCGATGTTCGGAATGGTTGGAAGAAAGTTAGGGGCAGCCAAACCAAAACGTGACATCAGTGCTTGAAGTCACTAACTTCTAGTCTGAGCCATGTTGGTAGATGCAGACTACTTGGTTGGGGTCCACGTGACTATCGTAACCAATGGTTGGAGACTCTTGGTGACATGGCTCAGAATAGATCACAATGGCGTCTTTGTATACACTCTCCGTCTTCCCTTAAACTGAGAAATTAAAGTCGCTTCATATCTTTCTTTCTACGAACTAATTCTCTCTTCCTGTACTATATCCTTATATGCAGTCTTTCTTTTATATATTACCACCTCTGAATTAACTACTTTTATGAATCCGGTGTCCATCTCGTTGTGTTAATGAGGTATGGCAACTTGAACCGATGCATATATGTGCCTGGTCCTACGTTGTATCTGACTGACTGACTGGGTGTGTATGCTTGACGTCAATCGATCCACGAAGTCGCGTTATCATCTCCAATTATCTTTGGTGAGTAGCTGCCTAGTTTTTTGCCCTATTGATTCAATGCATTTTGAGATATCATATTTTCTATCCTCAGGATCACTCAATTGATGCATTTTGTGTTGGGACAAATCTAGTCACCTGTCAAAAACAACCAGCCTTAGGATGTGTATATAAACTTGTTGAAATTAATGGAACTCCAACAATGAAACTTAGTGCTGATTTTGAAAAACTTACTTTGCCAGGAAAAAAAGTAGTTTATCGTTTATATAGTCAGCAAGGTGAGTTACGTTTTTTGACTTAAACGCCTTCTATTCATGACGTTTTCGCTCTCAGTTTTATTGTACTTATTATCGTTATAAGTAGTAAAACGTACCTTGATATATTCTTTATTAGTAACACGTGTTCAGAATTATTTATGAAAGTAATGATGAACAGTTAGGTACGAAATTAAAAGGATAAGGGAAATTAGGTAATAATATCCAAAAATAGTATTTATTGATGAAATTAAAATGGGTTCTTATGAAATCTGAACTATCTTGTTCAGAGGTCAAATCTTCATAAATAATAAAAAAAGACATATTAACGAAATTATATTACAGTTAGAAGACTGCAAGTGCGGGAATGCACTGTCGTCTAGATAGTGCTATAGTCTTTTGAATTAACATCCAACTGAAGTTATTGGTTAGGGTACCTTCGAAAGTGATCATATAAAAATGTTTCCTTTTGTATCTTAGAACGGTGAAATATGTGTCTAATTTTTGAGTGATACTATCTTGTTTATTCTTTGTTCTAATTTTCCGTTCAATCTTCTCACTAACTAGATATCCAGAATTAAGATACTGACGACTAAATGCTAATGAATTTTTCAAATTTATTATTAATTTCTTCTACTTCTCTACTCTTTAACAGTGCGCAAATACGACGCTACATTAAATGTAACTTATTGATGCAAAGTTTTACAGTGGTCAATATATCATTAAGCCATTTATTTAGCGTAATGCATTTTTGACTCCAAACTACCTTAACATCGGTGTTCACTGTTTAAAGGTCTCAATCAATACAGAATGTTTACCCACTTTTTCCTTACTTTTTTATTACTCGGAAATTTTCATGAGTTCAATTTTCTGTGTTTTAATGTAGGTGAAGCATTACTGGATTTAATGAGACGCTCACATGAAGATTCTCCAAACGTTAATGAACGTATTCTTTGTAGACACCCAACTCAAGCATCGAAACGTGTTTTTGTTGTACCCGGAAGAGTTGAACCATTACTCAAGTTATATTGGAATTATGGAAAAGTAATTTGAAATCATTTATTTATCTTTAGTTAATTATTACCACAACTGTTTTTGGTAAGAGTATAATATACTGACGACCATGGAGTATTTATCAGCCAATCAGGAAATGGTGCCTTGTTATAAAACAATTAACAATACAAAGTAATGGAATAACAGTGTTATAATAGCTTTGGTCGTAATAATTAACATTCACAACTCAAATTATCCCTTGTGGTAAAGAAAAAGGGTAAGTTTACATATATACATACATATTAGGAGTCAGTCTAGTGTTGTGAGCCAGTTTTATCACTCCGTAGAGTTTTCATCACCAACTCACATTGACTGTAGTGCAAAAAGATTAAGGTTAAGTATCAAAAGTTAAACTAGAGTTATGAGTTAGATTTACAAATCAAGATCAGAGTTTCAACACAAATTGACATCAGCTATAATTCAATGCCATGCTAACTTCCTGTTTACAAAATTGAGAAACTGAAGTTTGGGATGTAAAGTGAGATTAATAAAGAGGACATTATCTAGCTTCACTAAACACGCGACCAACGATATCAAGTACTTTAAAACACACTCTGCTGTAGAAGCAGGTATGCTGTTGAATTTAGATTATGCACCATCTAAAATTTTTTTTGTTGTACAACAGATATTTTAATCGATTTCAAACATCTTAAGAACTAAATATTACTATATTCCACTTGGCATGACTTACACGTTATATATCACTGATCTCTGTACTTCGCTCAAAATACGAGTTATCTTAATTCTGATTTGTCAACCCAAAGTCGTCAGTATATTCTATTTTTTGCCATGATTTTAATCTGAGTATTTTAGCTAGTGTAGTGGCTAGTACTACTTCAAGCCCACATAGATTATTCTAGCTGCTGAACAGACTAATTTATTCATTTTTCTCAAACCACATTTTGATCTTGTCATTTATTCGTCTATTAATTCTAACCGTTCTTTATATGACTGTATGTGTGTTAATTGCTTACCCTATTCATCACGTGTCTGTAACTTATTTTTGTTTGAATATATTGAGTCTCGCCTAATCAAAACGAGTTGGCTCACTCACCTTCTCCACTGCTCTTCACTTCGTTTCTCTGATTGTCTGTTCGGATCAATAAGTGTATGAAATATACGTATTCAAAATTCATTCTCGCATTTGACTTATCTAATTCCGTTATTCACTGACGCGATTTAAGCCGATAAAAATATACGAGAGTTGGCGGCATGTATAGTTCGATATCAATCAGCATACGATCTAAATGGAGTCAGATATCGGGCCACTAAAGTGTATTGCCACGAATAAGCAGTACTTTAAAGAGAGGTAAGTTTGTTGTATTCTAAATTATGTAAATTAAAATTTTCACTTCAGTTTATGTATTTATTATATGAACTGCGTCAGATTACATAAACTAGACGAAGTATTATTGGGTAATTGCTTGCAACGCTAATACATGTACTATAATAATAACATTTAAATTGTCGTAATTTCATCTTACCTACTCATTCTCTCTCTCTTTGCTTCCTATTTACCAATTACAGTTAGTTAAACCATTGCCGACATTGAATGAATCTAGAGAATACGCTATGAATGAATTAAACACTCTAAGACCAGATTATAAACGTATAACTAAACCGACGCAATATAAAGTTTCAGTTTCGGATGAATTATATCAATTCACTCAAGAATTATGGCTTAGTATTACACCAATTGGTGAAATTAGTTAGTAATTTTATTCAACTTTTTATTACTGTTGTTATAAATAGTTCATTTTTCTTTATATCCACCTTTCACATATCAACCTAACTGATAACAAATGTACTATTTTTTGCCTGCCATCATTTGTTTATTACTTATTTCCTTATTATTAGTAGTATTCTGATTAGTATTTTGTTTAAGTCTTGCTTTACTATACAAATAGATTGCTTTCAATACTTTTCTGTGATAAATTTGAAAGATAAATTCAAAACAACATATCTATGTATTTTTGACTACATTTTCTCATACCAAATATTTTTTATGTATAGATTATGAATACCAATAAAAAATTTCTTGTTCGCAAAGAATATTCACTTTAATTGCCATTTTGTTGTTAAATTCTTTGTGGTAATAGACAACATAAACTATGCTATGAAATAATGGAGAATATTTTTCGACTCAGGTGGATACTTTTGGTAGTGTTGAATTCTTCTAACTAGATGTTTTATAATTTCGGAGTTCTCATTTTCGTTCTGGACAACACATTATCAGTGCTTACTACAAAAGGTTACTCGGAAAGACAATGAATGCTTTACAACCAAATCATTGAACTCGGAGACCACAACAAAACTATTCTATGGAAGAATGTTCTCCTTAAATATTGGGTTTACGGTTTATATATACATAATATTAGTCAAAGTACCTGTACTTGGCTAGTGAGTAACTGTGTCAACAAACCCCTATGAAGCATTGTATTCTTATCTTCTGAAATTGGTTACTGAGAATAAAAATTATCTCCTAAGTGTTTCTATTTATTTTAGTTCCGACTAAAATATTCATATCTTATCTAAAATTATTGTGATTTTTTTTTTGAATTTTTCTGTCCATTTTTAAATCCTTATTGTTTGTATTTTCAAGTTTATTGAGTTTTCACACGTATCACTGCTGTTGAGATCTTTATTTATTTATTTGGACACATAAATATTGGTACAAAGGTGCACCAGATACATATGCGTCACACAAATAACGATGGGAATATGAAGACATAGAATGTAAGGTGAGTATAGGGAAAAGAGGAACAATAACGAACGAAAATTTGTGCATGATAGTGAAATAGTAATAATGGAAGAAACAGTTCAGTTAGCAAAGGCACAACCAGAAAGAATTGTCTCAGTCACCTAAGTTACGTCCACTTTTATGAAGAACGTAAAATAAAGTTACAACAGGTTTGCCACTGGCTTCTATTCTGAGTAAGATCTGGTAACGTCTCTATCCAGTGCTGCACCATCTCTAAGACCACAACCAGGGAGTCCTGAAGTAGCAACAGAAGCCAGTCTTGTACAAATTCCTTTCATATCACGACACCATGTCATACACTGACAACCTCTCCGTTTTTTCCAACCAGTCTCAGAGTCGGCAAATAATGCACGACGTGGAATTCTCTCGGCGACATTTGTAGAACATGTCCAAGGCACTGCAGTCGGTGTTTCAAGATGCTGACACCAATTGATTGCATGGTTTTAGTATCATCTCATAGTAAAATAATATCATCTGCATACTCAAGGTCAAAGTTCTTCTCTATGCAACTGATCCATACCACCATTGCCTACTTTCATCAGAGCGAAGTCGGGGAGGAATAGTTAGATTGAGCAACCCTGCTTACCCCACTGCTTGGATGGGACAATAGAGATGGCTATATGATTTCACTCTGCCTGAAATGTTTGTATATAGGGTTCTCAGGATGTTAATCAATTTCTCAGACACACACTTTTTCAATAAACAATCACAGAGAACAGTCCGGTCCCACGAATCGAAGCCAGCCATAATGTCAAGAAACATTAGGGCTGTTGGTCTGTGGTAAGTATAACCGTGTTCTGCCATTTGGCGGAGGGTGATATGGTCAATATATCTTTGACCAGAACAAAAACCAGCCTGCTGCTTGCGAGTCAACCCTTCCCGAGTATCGAGCAATCTACGAGGTATGACGAAATCAAATAGTTTGGACGCAACCGAAAGTAGACTTATCACCCAACAGTGACAACTTTAGATTCATTCCAGGGTGTTGGGATACTCTAATTGCCAGGCCTGTGTAACCAAATCAGTCAGTTCCTTAACCAAAAGGTCATCACCATCTTTAAAAAGATCCGGAAGTAAGTCATCTGGACCTGGTGATTTGTAGCGCTTCAGGATTTGGAGTTCCTTGCGGACCTCTGTTTCGTTAGGTGGATCAGTCGTCACAGGCCATGAAGAGTAGTACAGGTTGGTTTATTTAGTCAGGGCAGCAAACTAGTCGAATTATTCCTCGAAAAACTCAGCCCATTTTACCAAGACTTCCGGCAGTTACCGGAAGCAGCTGCTGTTTCCGGTTCACTAGCACGTCCGACCACCAGACTTCTCGGTCCTTACGCAAGCTTTCTACAATTTCACCACGTAAAAATCTTCGTTTATCGTCAAATGCACGGTTACTTGGAGTAGACCGACGTGCTTTGATCACTTGTAAGGAGCCTGTAGAAAGCCGTGTGAGAGAATTTCGAAGGAGGAGATCTGACTCTCCTCATACTCGACCGTACCCGGGAATTTCGGGGAAATTTGTAAATTTATCAGTCACTTGTTGAAATGTAGATGAAGTCAATTATGACAATGAAAGTAAAATTAACCAGGCAGACGTACAGTTCCTATCAATAATAGAAGAACCTGTCCAAACTGGTACAATAGCACATAAAACGGAGAAAAGTTTTGAAGTCAACATATGTGGTAAAGGGAAGTCATAATTGATAGAGTCTTATTTGTGGGATCATTAGTTCGCGATGTTAAATAGTCCCATACTAGGATGAGACGACCGCCCGGTGCTTCCAGGTTTTCACTGGTGGCCTAATATTCATCGGTTCGTAATCTCAATAGTATTTACTGTCAAAAAGTTACTAAAACAATCATAGTAGTTAACAATGTTAATACAGCTACATAGTTCAAATTTAGAGGACATCGGACATTAGTTTTTTCGTAGTTTGACATTCATTATTAATACGCAGATAGTATGGAACAGCTACCCAGTACCTCTCAGTTTTCAACAGTTCCTTAGCTGAGGTCTTTTTGTACTATAGTTTAGTTGAGTAGATTTCACGGAGGCTGGTTCAGTTTGTAGGTTCTACTTGTTGAAAATTGGTCTTGGAGTACCATGAAATACTGGACAGCAAGTTCGTTCTAGTATTAGACTCCTAATCTGTGTACACTCGTCCCCGCTAAATATCCAAGCCACAACCTCCAGTAGACTCCATGTGCGCTTAAACTTTAAAACCACTTGGTTGGCGTTCATTGGTGCAATTTCAACTTCAGTAACTTTTCAGTAGAGCATAATTGTCACCCTATGACTAATATAATCTATAAGTTAAATCCACCATCATAAAACACTTTCAGTTAAACTAGAGTATTTGGCTGATCATTGGTTTACTTTAAAATGTTCCTGATATGCTACTGAAAAGTGTTGACTGATACAGTTCATACATATTTGAAATAAAACACTTGTCACTAATGCCATTGGATAAACGTCGTGCTATATATCTGTTTAGAAAAATATATTGTAATATTGAGTAAACAGTAGAAGTTGCTAAAATAACGTTTTCGAATGTTATCGAGATCACGAACGAATTTAAGATAACCATTGAAAATCTGAGCAGTTGCTTCATCGTAGAATGTAACTCATCACAGTTCAATCACGACCTCACCGAAGACCAATCTCAGGACCTTCCAGTGTGGAAGGGAAAACTTAACTACTAGACAACTGAGCTAACATTCAATGTTTTGTAATCTTAATTCGTGACATTGCACAACAGTCTCCTCTTGTCATCAATTGGTACCTCCTTCACACCCTACACTACTGGATTAGACTAGTCACAGCTACTCATTAGGACCCTGTATATTCCCTCTCGAAGTGACCATTTGATATTTTTATAACTTGGATTGGCTCATAATCTCAGTGTTACCCAACAATCTAATTACACCACCATAGTGAACATTTTAAAATGTTATTCCAGCACTTTATCACATCCTTTTATAGAAAGCACATGAAACTATTGAGTAATAAGTTAATATAATCTCCAAATTGTCGATTCACTTAGCGTAAATTGTTTATTTTACTACATTATAATAAAAAAAGTGAACCACTTCAAATCCATTAAAATTTAATTCGAATATTTTGTTTTAATTTCAGATTTTAAAATGAACATTTTGTTTATAAAATTTACCAATTCCTTTTAGTAGACATTTTTATTCATTTTAATTAGCTATAAATAATTAAAGATTCATAAGGTACTACTGAAATAAATCAAAGTAGTAATTATAAATTTTAAAATTTAAGTTTGATTATATTTGACCACACAATAAAATAAACAAATAAATAAATAAACTTACAAAAAATTTAGCAAAAAAACTTTTCATTTTGAACATCACATTATTTCTTAGCTTCATATTCTATTAAAATTAAAGAATGAGCAATATATACATAAACAAAAAAATGGTAATTAGTTTATAATTTGTTACTGTTGTTCAAATTAGTAGTAGTGTGGTGTGTGCTACTTATATTGACATAAGTAGTATATGACGTTAGTCAGGAACAGAATCTCTGGTAGCAGAGAGACAAGAGGATCGAACAGTAAAGAATGGAAACAGAATGCAATTTGTATGAAAATGGAAGAACAATGAAGTCTGAGTCATTTTGAGACAACTGATGGACAATTTGCAAATTAAGCATTTACTAAATGATTGTTAGATTTTATTAGCAAGTCCTGTAATTTTGTGTTAAATACATTCGATTGTCCCCCACTCGTGTTTTGTTCGCTACAGTAGTAGTAGTTATTGTTGTTACATTAAGAATAGTAGTATGTTACATACTTTGAAAATAAATAAACAGATGTAATATAATTTTTTTTTAAATAAACTGTTTCCAAACTTAGTTTATTTAAACAAAAACTTTGTCACTTTTAAAAAGAATGACCAAATTGTAGATTGTTTTACTTGCCTGAAAATAAAAATG